GGCTATGTACACTTTTATAGTAAAAAAACAGTGGCTGTGAATCTTGCAAAAATGCACAGGTGATATAATCATCTTCTAAATTATAACTAGAGGTCAAAGGGAAGGAAAATGGAATTTGGAGTGAATGCAATCTACCAAGAGAAACCATACATTTTATGCTCATTAAGACCAAGTTCTGTCTTCTATATTAGCATTATCTTTGCACTTATTTTTATTGATTTTTTTTAAGAGAGAGAGGAAAGGAGAGGGAGAGAGACAGACATCTTTGAGAAATATCAATCACCAATAGGCTGTCTCCTGTATGCCCCCTACTGGGGATCAGGCCCACATACCAGGCATGTGCCCTGACTGAAAATCCAACCAGTGACCTCTTGGTACATAGGATGATGCTGAACCAACTGAGCCACACCGGATATATTGATATATCCAAACTCATGCCATTCCCAAAGGTTTTTCTCTGTCGGACACACTTCTTTTCAACCTTCTCAGTTTATAGCAGTCTTCAGGAAACATTAATAATGTAATTTTTAGATTATAAATTGCTTTCACAGATATTGTTGCTCTATTTAATTTTCTCAGAAACCCAGCAAGATATACAGGGAAAGTATCATCACTATCCCTGTTCTCAAATTAAGGAAGCTGAAGCACAATTACCATTAGTATAAGGGGAAGGAGTTGAGCTAGAGTAGAGATCTCTGACTTCAAATTCTGAGCTCTCTGAGCCACGAGAAATCTGTATTAATTGCTTATAATATCCACATACACTAACACTCTCTATCACACTTTCGATAGGTATGGATATATATATTCGATGCTCAAATCTACATTTATAATGGCTGCATATCTCAGGAATGATCTCCTGCCACATGCATGCCTTTATTTAGCTATCATTTCATTGAACTTCCGGGGAGAACACCCTCTGCTGAAGCATCCATTCTCCCTTGGCTTCTGTGAGTGCGTCGTTCCTTACTGGGGCTTTGAACCCCCACCCCCTCTGCCAACCTCCCTCGAATGAATTTCTGGGGCTTTCCGTGTGCATTGGGATTTCTTCTATGACATGCGGCTTTGCTCCTTTGTTGTTTTCTTCTTTGAGCTCCATTATCAGGAAGGTTATTTTTGTCTTCCCTGTAACCTCATTAATGCAGGATGGTGAAAGATAAGGAGAGAGCAGGCATCAACAGAGGGAAGTGGCTGAATCCACCAGGACTCTTCTCTCTTTATTCCCTCTTTCCTTCATTTTTGTCATGGGGATCACAGCTATTTTTCAAGGAAATTCTTGGGGCAGAATAGTATAAATCTATATTAATTACATCAATATGAGCCTCTTTAGGGTATGTGCTATAAAGTTGGCTATAATGTTTAAATATTCATAAATTTTTAAATGCTTGCTGTTAATCTTGCTCACATCTTTACTACTGAAAATTCTTACAGAGCAGGACAAAAAATCCTGCCATTTTAATCCTTGCTATGTCTTTATTTGTTAACTCCATTTATCTTGAACCTATACAATACATTAAAAGATATATGGCCCTTGCCGATTTGGCTCAGTGGATAGAGTATCGGCCTGCAGACTGAAGGGTCCCAGGTTCGATTCTGATCAAGGGCACATACCCAGGTTGGCTTGATCCTCAGTTTGGGGTGTGCAGGAGGCAACCAATCAATGATCCTCTCTCATTGTTGATGTTTCTATCTCTCCCTCTCCCTTTCTCTCTGAAATCAATAAAAATATATTTTAAAAAGATACATGCAATGACCCAATAAGAATAAATATCTCATCTTTTTATCCACTAGCCTTGCCCCATTTTAGCACATTTACTGAAGATGTGAGTAGAGGGTATATGCAGTAAGAAGAGGGAAGAATTTAACTTCATCCCACTGTGGGCAGAGGGCAGTGGGAAGTAAGATAGAAGATGCTTCATATCTGATGCCAACTTTCTGCCCTGGCTCCCCCATTCTTTGCCTTCCCCTCCTTTTAGTCCTAATGGTCTCTTCTCAAGCTCTGTTAAGAACATGCCACTCTCAAAGACAGAGAAGATGGGTAGAGAAGAGAAAAAAAGAGAATTCTTGGGCTTTTTTTCCTGAATATATTTTTTTATAATTTAACTCAAGCTTTGTATATGACTCTTCGGGAAGAGACACTAGGCTTGTGGTTTCAAAAATCATCTTGACAACGAAGGATACAAGAAAAATGCTTGTCCTTCTCGCACACGGCATAGAGCACAGCTGTGAAGTGAATCCTTAGATTAACCCCGCAGGCCACCCCCAGGCAGGTGGGGTCAGGCAGCACAGCAGAGGTGCTACGTTCCTTGTATCTAGTGCCTCTTGTGTTGAAGGATCATGCACCTGCTTATAATGTTAACCACCTAATTCATCAACTACTGAAATGTTACCATTTTATATCATTTAAGATAGCAAAAGATTATACTACGGACTATCCTACCCTTGGCTTTCAGATACTTCTAAACATCCATTGAATTCCAGAGTGTAGACAGGTAAATGTGCTCTTCATACTTCATGGACGGGACTGCATATTCCCGTTCTGATCGTTCATTGGCTTGCCCTCTCACAGAGGCACCTGTGGTGCAGCAGGCATTTGCTGCTGCATCCACAGTGTGATCTCTCAGCTGCCTTTGCTAACTAAACTGCACAGGTGAGAACAATTCTATTTTCAGGCAACCTTACACTGTCTTTGTAAAAAGCACAATATTGCACCTATTCAGCTAGTGTCAGTGAAGCCAAAGGGAAATCTTGTAGGAGTTTTCAGTCTAGTGTGCACATAGATACTAGCAGTTCTGCTCCCACACCATTGAAAACAACTCATACAATAAGTTTCAGTTATTCCTTTGATTAGGAGAGACTGAGTGAGGGTGAGCCCAATAACTATATTATGCATAGCCTTTCATTGCATTAGAGAGTTTTGGTATTCTCTGACCAAATTAGTATCCCTCTAATGAACTATTATAATGAGATTTCTTTGAAAACATATTGATATTGCTCTATCAAAAAATAAGAACCCTAATAATGAAGTTAATTCCAGGCATAGTAGAAATGGCAGCTTGCCAAAACTGACAGCTTATCCACTTGTTTACATAAGAAAAATAATCCATTTATTATGCTTTTTTTCCTGACATCTTTACTTGTTCATATTCCATCACATGAACAAATTTCTACATGTGGATATATTTGACCATTACTTCCTAGAAATATGCATTTTGATACATACCATGACACATCTTCCCAAATCACATGATGCATACTAATGCTAAACACTGTATTTTAAATAGTTTACAAATTTAGTGTCAATGTGTCTCTTAAATTCATATTACCAACTGGAGAGTGTTATAGAAAATCTATTTAAACTAAAAAAGAAAAAATCCACAGATTTTAGCTATTGTAAAAATGAGGAATTTCTATAGTCAACATTAAAAGACAAAAAGATCAATCATGTCATTTAACACTGAGACAGGCCTTCCTCTTTGTTTCTCCTACTGATGAACTGCTTATCCACTTGTTTACATAAGAAAAATAATCCATTTATTATGCTTTTTTCCTGACATCTTTACTTGTTCATATTCCATCACATCAGATTTCTACATGTGGATATATTTGACCATTACTTCCTAGAAATATGCATTTTGATACATACCATGACACATCTCCCCAAATCACATGATGCATACTAATGCTAAACACTGTATTTTAAATAGTTTACAAATTTAGTGTCAATGTGTCTCTTAAATTCATATTACCAACTGGAGAGTGTTATAGAAAATCTATTTAAACTAAAAAAGAAAAAATCCACAGATTTTAGCTATTGTAAAAATGAGGAATTTCTATAGTCAACATTAAAAGACAAAAAGATCAATCATGTCATTTAACACTGAGACAGGCCTTCCTCTTTGTTTCTCCTACTGATGAACGTTACACCTTTATTTTAAAATACAGATT